GCTGAGCAAGTTGTAACTGTTAACAAACCTCAATCTCTTTTCCATCTGTCATGGGCCTGCCAATTGGCCCAGTGATGAGAATCTTTGTCTTCTTGATGTTGAGCTTCAATCCATATTGAAGACTATAGTCCTTGACTTGCAGCAAATACTTCAGGTCTTCTTCAGTTTCAGTAAGCAAGATTGTGTCATCTGCATAAAGCAGTTTGATGATGAGTCTACCTCCAATCCTAATGCTACATTTCTCCTCATAAAGCCCTGCTTCCCAAATGATCTGTCTGCCTACAGATTCAAAAGGTTGGAGACCAGATACATCCCTGACACACCCTTTCCTGATTTTGAACCATGTGGTGTTTCCCTGCTTTGTTCTGAGGACTACTTCCTGGTCCAAGTATAGGTTTTGCTTAAGCACAATCAAGTGTTCTGGGATTCCCATTTTCCTCAAGGTTAGCCAGAATTTGTTGTGATCCACACAGTCAAATACCTTTGCATAGTCAAGGAAACACAGATAGACATCCCTCTGGTACTCTTTGTTCTTTACCAAGATCCATCTGACATTGGTGATAACATCTGTTGTGCCACGATCTCTTCTAAATCCAGCTTGTATTTCTGGTAGTTCTCTGTCAACGTACTGTTCAAGGTGTTTCTGGAATGACTCAAAGGGCTCTAATTAACAGCCAATCTGAACCCTACCCTATCCTGAACCATCTTCATCATCTCTGACAAACTAGAGTCCACTGCTAAAGTCTGTGTCAGTTTATCTTCTTGGGGTCTTCCTCTCCTTCGCTGACCCTCCATCTTTCCAAGCATGATGTCCCTCTCCAAGGAACAGCCTCACTGAGCTATAGGCCCAAAGTATGAAAGACGAAGCTTCACCACCCTTGCGCCCAAAGAGCACCATGGCTACACTTTTTCCAGGACCTAGCTGTTGATTCTTTTGGCAGTCCATGGGATAGAAACCAAGTGACCGACAGATAACTACACATACACTTACTTACTTGTCTCTCTCCTTCCCCTTTTCCCTCTCCTTCTGTCACTGTCAACAAGAATTCCAACTCACAGCTCACTCTCATTTCCAAGGCTGTCAATCATCCAGGAAGAGGTCACCCCTCTTTCTCCTGCTGAGCAGCTGGTGCTTTCCAGACACCAGAGAAGCTCAACCTACGGGTCCACATCACAGCTCTCTGGGATGGCACTGCCAGGGCTCCCTACTTAGCTGGCCTCTTTTAACTGATGTCCTAAAACTTCTTTAGTATTAACTCCTCTGTTTAAGCTGATTATTGTTCTTCTATCTAGAAGGTGAGAAAGAAAAAAAATATGCACAAAATTTGGCAAATCTACCAATAGTACAACCCTAATTCAAGAAGATCAAAGACTTCAATATAGTCTTCAATATGAATCATACATATCTCAACTCCATGAAAAAAAATATCATGATACATGGGGAAAAAATTGAAAATGTCTTTTCGTGGGATTCACAGTCAGCATCAATGAAAACAAACATTAGTAAAAAAATCAAAACATGTATTGCATTGGGCAAATCTGTTGTCAAGAACTTCTTTAAAGAACTGACAAGAACATCAGTTTAAAGACTAAGTGCACCTCAAGCAAAGCCACAGTATTTTCAATTGCGTTGGATAAATATGAAAGTTGGATACTGAATAAGGAAGACCAAAGAAGAACTGATGTCTCTGAATTGCGGTGTAGGCAAAAAGTACAGAATATACCACGTTGTTGTTGTTGTTATGTGCTGTCGAGTCGCTTGCGACTCATAGCGACCCTATGTACAACAGCCCTAAACCGTGCTCTTTCCTGCTCCAACCGCACTGCCTCTGACACACCCATCCCAATTACTCCAGTCACTGAATCAATCCACCTCATAGAGGGTCTTACCCTCCTGCGCTGTCCCTCCACCCTACCAAGCATAATGTCCCTCTCCAAGGACCTGTCCCTCCTTACGTGTCCAAAGTATGTCAGACAAAGCTTCAGAATCCTTGCCTCCAAGGAGTAGCCTGGTTTAACCCTCTCTAGGATGAATCTGTTTGCTTTCTTGACACATTCAATACTTTTCTCCAGCACCACAGCTCAAAGGCATCAATTCTCCTATCCTCCCTAGTCATTGTCCAACTCTCTGATGCATAACAAGTGATTGCAAAGACCATGGCCTGTATCAGATGCACCTTAGTCTCCAGAGACACACTGCTACTCTTGAGTACTTTAGAGAGGTCCCTAACAGCAGACTTTCCCATTGCAATACGTTTTTTTTATTTCCTGGCTACTGGTGCCAAGAGTGTTGACCGTGGAGCCAAGCAAACTGAAGTAGACTGCCAAAAAACCCAAACAGAGCTGGAAGAAGAGCCAGCGTATTCCTCAGAGGCAAAGATGATGAAACTTCATCACACATGCTTTTAAGATTTTGTCAGGAAGCATGCCCAAACCCCTATGTTTTTCCAGCTTGATGATCGCAGAAAAGAATATCATGCAAGCAAAAATGTGAAGGCTCAGCAAAACAGAGGAAGACTGTCAGTGAGACAGACTGACACATTAGCTGCAGCAATGGGCTTGAGTGTGGTGGAGGATGGCACAAGGCAAGGTTTTAAACCACTGACCCTGGGGTCGCTAGGAGTTGTACTTGACTCAACAGCACCTGCCCACATATTCTTAAGTGTTACTTGTGCATTAACTACTCTAAAAAGATTACCGCACTGAAGTGTCAAGAATGGAAGAAATAAAGTAGGAAGCAAACTGAAATGTTTCGGTTTATGCATGTTCCAAAGGATGAACATATTTTAAGTACATTACAGATGCACCTGCAAAATCAACTTTGAAGAGGTCTACTAAAGGGAAAAGCAAGAAACAAAAAGCACACCATTTTCTATGTCTAGGTCACTTCTTTTGTCCTTTTCCAAAGTCTTTTTATTTCTAATTCCTTATTGATGATCTTAACCTTGCCTGAGCATGGATTTTGCTGACTACATTGAAATATGCCATTTGTCTTAGTAGCACAATTACACAAGGTGATTTTTCTCATTTCTTTCAAACCTGTCTAAAAACCAACCAGCAGTATTGCATCATATTGACTTCCTATGATGTAAGAGAAGGACATCAAGCTTGGAAGGGTGGGGGGACAGCGCAGACGAGGATAACCCTGGGTGAGATGGATTGATACAGTAACTATGGCAATGGGGGTAGGTGTGTCAGAGTCAATGAGACTGGCTCAAGACAGGGTGGGCTTCAGAGCTATTGCTCATAGGGTCGCTATGAGTCACAGGCAACTTGACGGCACATAACAACAACAACATGATGTAACTGCTTCTTACTATGCATTTATTAAATAAGTAAGTGAATCCAGATGATCACACACTTCTTCCTAACTTCTTCCATTTCAAAGCACAAATGGGAAAATGATGCATATAAAGATGCTGGGGTAAATAAAGGAAGTACTAGGTAGCCAGGGGCTACTAGGTAGCCAGAACCTACTAGGCAGGGCCACCCAGCAGTCCCGGAGTCTTCAGGATGTCTGTGCAGCGTGAAGGAACACTACTTCTGCATAACTGAGACGCATACCCAGCATGTCAGGGTTCTCTGAAACATCACTGCAGAAGTTGTGCTCTACAACTTTTGCCTACTTAGAATACTCCGGCTTCTATCTGGATATGTTATCAAGAAAGATGAATCCTGGAAAAAAGATGTCCAACAGGATGGATGGACACAGTGACTGCAACAATGTGCTCAAACATATTCTCAACTGGGAGTACGGTGCAGGACCAGGCAATGTTTCATTTGCTTATATAAAGGTCCGCCACGAGTGAGAACTCTCATCTCGATACCTAAGAACAACAATTACCAGGAACTTATCTGTCCTTTGATAAACTACGCCATCTTCATTATCCTTGTGGCACAGACACTTAGGGGGCCTTGTCACTCCATTCATCACCATTCCATCAAGGATAGGTAATTAAAGTGCCACATTACCTTGCCACAATGGTTGCTCCCAATCTAGGCCAGTCTGAGTATTCTCTACTTTCATTGCAGATTGTGGGCACAAAGCTAAATGGCTTGGGACCTACAGCTAGAGCACTGGGCTTCAACAGAGCGAAGAAAGCAACTGCCCCTGAAAGACCTTATCTTACAGAATAGTTTGTCTAAACAGTAGACTCAGTAAAAACTAAGACAGCTTAAGTTGAGTTTCTAAAAGATGAAGTCACAAGGATCACCAAGAATTTCAGACACCAAATGCCTATCTGGAATATCAATACATCTATTAATGTAACATGTATTAGGTCAATTGAAAACACAGATCAAAGTAACTCACTGTGAACTCGAAAGAAGTGAAACTCCTTTACGTAATCCCTATTTCTGCACTAACCACTCTAAAAAGATTACCACACCAAAGTATCAACACTCGAAGAAATGCAGTTGGAAGTAAGTTGAAATATTTCACATTATCCCTGTACCAAGAGACAAATATATTTTGAATGCGTTACAGATTCATTTGCAAAATCCACCTTAAAGAGCTCTTCTTAAGAGGAAAAACTTCACAGGAGATATCAGCAGCTGTTTACTTAACAAAAAGAAAGAATAGGGATGACATATTGGGAGTTAAAGGAAGTGAGACTACATTAGCTCCGTATCTTTAATACATACATGTTCCCCGCTCCTGTCACCACATTATTTCCTTTAACCACTTGCAGTGGACTCAATTCCAATTCACAGAGGCCACATCTCTTTCTTTCTCATTTCCCCAGGGTTGGAACTCATTGATAGCTGACCCTCTCTGGGTTTTCATGACTGTACTTTACATGGAAGGAAACTGCCCACCATTCTCCCTCAGAGCCACCTGTGGATTTGAGCCCATCAAGAGTCACGACCTTCCGGTTAGTAGGGCACCGTACTATGGATGATGCCCCCATACTCAAATGTCCAAACTCTTGGTTAACAGCAAAGTTCGCTACTGGGTTGCACCAGGCAGAGACGAATGCTTTATTATTCTTTTGTTTTACCTGAGATGAATCTGCTTGAGCTAGTTCTGTAGTGACCTTCAGGATTTGGCGAAGATTCTGTCCAGAATCTTCCACAAGGAGATAAGCCAGCAAAAGACACACATGCACAGGGATCACTGTAGTAATAGGAAGCAGTGACTCCACCGAAGCCAGCCAGTCACGGGCTGCAGACCCTTCTCTCATTACTTCAAAGATCCTCCAGGCTGTAAATACTGAACCATACATGCTGGTTATGGGGAACACAAGCTTGTAGGAGAGCTGAAAAAGAAACGCAAAGAAGTCATAAATAAGTGGTGTGAGTACATATGTCAGAAAAAAAAATCACTTTTATATTTCACTGTAAAAAAAAAAAATTTAACCCTTCCCCTACAACCAAGAGAAAATGAAATAGATGAATGGGACCTTCTAAGAATCAAATCCCTACGCACATCCAAAAACTTCTCCAACAGGGTAAAAAGGGAAGCCACTGACTGGGAAAAAGTATTTGGTAATGACATATCAGATAAGGGACCTATATCCAGAATTTATAAAATACTTGAGCATCACAACAAGAGAAAGGTAAATAATCCAATAGAAAAATGGGTACAGGATATGAACAGACACTTCACCAAAGAAGACATTCAGATGGTCAACAAGCACAAGAAAAAATGTTCAAAATCCCTAGCTCTAAGAGAGATGCAAATCAAACAACTATGAGATATCATCTCATCCCAGTCAGAATAGCAAAATTTAACAGAACAAATGTTGGTGAGGTTGTAAAGAAACTGGAACCTTTATTCACTGTTGATGAGAGTGTAAAATGGTGCAACCACTGTGGAAGGCGGTATGGCGCTTTCTCAAAAAGTTACAAATAGAGACACCATTTGACTCAGCGATTCCATTACTGGGAATAAACCCCAAAGAGAGCATAATTGACACCCAAGCAGATATATACACACCCATGTTTATCGCCGCTTTGTTCACAATAGCAAGGAGTTGGAAACAACCTAAAGCCCATTAACAAACAAATGATAGAGAAGCTGTGGTATATTCACACAATGGAATACTACAGCTGCGTTGAAAAACAAGGAATTCATGCAAAATTATTCAAAATGGGTGATCCTGGAGGAAATTATGCTGCATGAAGTATCTCAGCCAAAAAGGACAAATACTGCATGATGCCACTGTTGTAAAAGAGGACTGATCTTGGGGTTGGGGGGGAGACTGAGAAAGATGGGTTAAGTAATGTATACTGCATTGAAACAGATGAGGAAGAAAACTGTTTAAAAGGGATATGTGATTAGGTATTTCTGTCGTTACGGGAGTCCAGAACGAAGGCTGCATAGTGGAGTGACCTGGGAGGAAGGATTGTAAAACAATGAAAGAATTTTTCTTTTACTTTTCCAAGAGGGTAGTATACTGGGGGGAGGGGGAAAGGAGGAAGGTTGGGAAGGAAGAAAAGTGCAACAATGAATGAATGGAAATTTAAAAAAAAAATCCAGATGGAATCGTAATCATCTTACTTTGAGGTCATAAAATTCTTTTCATCCCCTTTTGATTTTCATAATGATTCAGTGAGACCAGGATGCTCCCTGCCCTTATTGTTTTACAGATGGGGAAACTAACATTAACTAACTGTAACAGAAAAGACATCTGATTTTTTTCAAAAGTTGTAATTCATTTCCATAATCATAAGTTTGTTTCTTTTTAAGATAATAGGTATATTATTATAAAGATAGACAATAAGGCCCAAATCGAGAATGATTTGTATTGAATTGGTAAAAAAGAGCAAAAGGAGGATTAAAAAAAAATTACCCCCTGACAGAATGAATACAAACCTTTCTAATCTTTTTTAGTAAGTTTTTTATTAATGATTTTTAATGTAACATATATATTTTTTACAGCATATTCTTTCCATTTAATTTTTTCCCCACTCATTCATTGTTGCACATTTTCCTCCCTGCCCACCCCTCCCCGCCAGTTTGTTTTTCTCTTTGAAGAAAAAAAAAAAATTATTTCATTACTATACAATCCCCCCTCCACTGTCCACTTTAATATACATTTCTTTTTCTGTAATCTTGTGATGAAAATAATACCTAATCCTATATTCTTTTTAAACAGTCCTCTCCCTCATCTGTTTCCATACAGTATATGTTATTTATCCCCTCTTTCCTTAGGTTCCCCCAATCCCGATGTCAGTCCCATTTTTCAATAGTGGCACTATGCAGTATTTGTCCTTTTGTGACTGAGATATTTCATTCAGCATAAGGGCCTCCAGAGTCACCCATTTTGTACAGTATTTCTTAAGTTCTTTGTTTTTCAATGTAGCATAGCATTCCATTATGTGAATATACCACAGCTTTTCTATCTTGCCTAAAATATCTCTACATATATTTAAGGTGTAAGTATTTAATACCAAAAAAAAGAAAGAAAGGAAAAAAAATGTTACATGAGACTCTAGAATAGGATATTACTACTTTTCCTCACATTTAGCATTTTCAAACAGTTAAGGCAGGGGGGAAAAAAGAGATCAATGTAAAAGGTCCAAAGGCAAAAGAGCTTGGGGGTAAGGCCATTATTACTTAAAAAAAAACCCTGTTCACCAACAAGAAGGGGGTAAAAAGAAAAAAACACTGCATTTGCCCAGCTCGCGGCCCTATGAAAAGGCAGCTCTGGGCAGATAACAGTCTGGGACTGAAGACAATTCCTGTTTCTAACACACAGTATATTTACAGGAACAGAGTTTGTTGAGCCAGAGTCTAGGGAATTCATTAATAACGGTGAATAACTTCTACAAGAAGAAAAAGTCTGACAGTGCTACACTGAAATGACTCCCAAAGACGATGTTAAATTCAAGTCACTCTGGAAATTTGCTCCACAAACTAGTACAGTCAGTGGACAAAATTCTGCCACTGTAGATGGACTTACTACATATGTAAAAATGCTCAGGAGAAGCCACAGACATTAATGGTACAACAGACAGCACCTGGTAACAACTCAACTCATTTAGTACAATGAGACATATTCAAAACCCAGGGACTGGAACTGCGACTGCAGACTGACTTAGATGGATAAGGTCATTTAATTGAAAGAATGGGAAATAAAAGGTAAGCTTTGTAAAAATGTTTCAAATAATAGCTTTATTGAAATAAAATTCACATAACATAAAAGGCACGCCAATAAATTGTCTGATCCAATGGTTTTGTATCTAGTCATATAATTGTGTAACCATCAGCACTATCTACTTTTAGAACACTTCCCTAAGTCAGAAAAGGAATCCTATACCCATTAACAGTGATTTTTCCTCATTACCCCCTCCGTACAGTCCCTGGTAAGAACCACATGTCTAAAAAATGTGGTCTTTTATGACTGGCTTCCATCATTTAACATAATGTTTTCAAGGTCTATCTATGCTGCAGCACATATAAACCAACAAGATAGATGGCTATTGTGTGGGTGTATATATGTGTATGTATGTGGGTGCTTACAAATACCTGCACACAAGTCACCCAATTTTCCCTGTCAAGTTATTTCAGTGTACAGATACACCATACTTATTAATCTAGTCACCAAATGATGGACATCTGACTTGCTCCCACTTTTTGGCTATTATGAAGAACACTGCTGGAGCAATCATAGAGAAGATTTGTGTAGACAAATGTTTGCATTTTCTTTCATGTAAACTTAAGCAAATAAAAACGAACCCACTACCACTGAGACGATTCCAACTCATTGCAGTTCTCCTTCGGTTCCCAAGACTGTAAATCTTGAAGGAAGGAGAATGCCAGTCCTTCTCCCATGGTGGATGTGCACTGCTGAATATTTGGTTAGCAGCACACCATGTCACCAGGGGTTTCCAAATATACTTGAGTAAATATCTAATACTATTTTGACACAACTTGTTTAAAAGCTATACACCAAAACAAATGATGAAGCTCCTTCTGTGTTGATATGAAAGCATGTCCTAATTGAAAATACAAGATACAAGCATTCTGCCTAAACCCTACCTTTTTTTTGTTTTTTTATGAGAGAGGGCTAAAAAACCTATGTTTTATGTTTGCTTAAATGTAAGAATACTAGAGCAAATATAGAAGACATTAACAGTCTCTATTCCTAGTTTTCTATTTGGGATAGTGGAAGATGGAATTAGGATCAATGAGAGACCATTTAAATGTTACCATTTTAAAAATATATAAGTGTTAGAATGAAATTAAATTTACGTCTAGAAAGCTCCCACACTCTAAAAGTATTTTTATCACCAAGAAGATGAGATACATCAGAGACTAAGATCAAATTCTTTAGACGCTAAATGAGAAAGAGCACGGGACTTGTCATTTAAACAGACCAAAACTCAGCACAGTTATACAGCTATTAACTGGTAACCTATTGCTCTGATTCTTAGTTTCCTCATTTGTAAAGCAGTAGTAATAACTGCCTTCCCATCAGAGTGACTGAAACAGATAATGAGACAGTATCTACAAAGCATCTAGCAGTGTCTGATGTTATTAAATATAAGGAAACATTATCACTGTCATCTTCAGGAACAAACAGTAAAACTGATTGATGTAAGTGTAAAGAAATAATGTGGAGATCACTGTAAACCATAAATTGAATGAAAAGTAGTAACATTAAATAAATGTCTACCAGTTTATAAAGGATAAATAAAATGCAGTATATGCAGACACTGGAATATAACTGAGCTATAATAAAAAAAAAAAAAGAAGTACTGATCCATGTAGTAACGAGGATGAAATTGAAAATAAGCTACATGAAAGTAACAAAGGCTCACTTCTTATTAGAAGATTCCATTTACATGAAATGGCCAAGAAGGTAAATCTATAAAAAGCAGAAAGGAGACTAACAGGCTTCCTAGAACTGAGTTCACTTGTTAGTTTCTTGAGTGAGCACAAAGCTCAGGTGGAGGTACAAATCTGAAGGCCCCTAAATTAAGATTTGGGGAGCTCTGCTGGCCCAGCAGGTAAGGAGTTAAGCTGTCAACTCAAAGACGAGCAGTCTGAATCCACCGTTGCTCTGAGGGAGAAAGACAGGCAGTCTCCTCCTGTGCTATTTCCAGTCTCTAAAAACCCTCTGGAGGGTCATTTCTAACCTTGTGGGAGATAAGAACACCACAATTAGGAGATAGCACAGTTAACTAATGCCAAAAAAGTGCTAGGAAGTCAAAAGAGACAGTCATGGACTTGACATAGAGAAGCTGAGAAGATTTAACTGGGTCTTAAAGAATGATTAGCTCTGGAAAAGGAGAACCCACAAAAACAGTGCAAAAGCAAGGATTCAAGAAGACCTGGAGAATCTGGGGCCTGTCAATTCAGAGCCATTTTTGATAAAACATAAAAATAGATGTAGAAATAAAGGCAGCAATAAAATGTGGCTTAAATTTTTTTTTTTTAAAGTGGTATGTCTTCTTAAACGAGGCCTCAATAAATGCGCACAGTGATTAGGGGGATGTTTGTGGTCCTAACCCTGCTCCCTCCTTCCCAAGTGCTAAAGAGACAGTACAGGATAAATAAGTGGATAAATAAGATTCCCACACACGTGAGCAAACAGGATCTGAGTGTTTAGGTAGAAGAGTAGGTGATCCTCCCTGATTATTACTTGTAATTGAGAGGAACAGAATTCTCACAGACCATTCCTCTCTGCCACTGAACGACTCACATGGGCAAATCAAGAGAGAAGAGAAGACCTCTGTGCATTTCTTAGTCACATTTCCTCCTTTTACTGACGCTGATGGGAGGACTTTGCTATCTTGATGCAAATAAATTACCTAAAGTTTTAGTCAAAGCATTGGGCTTTAGCAAACTGTAGTATATACAGTATGTACACATTACATTTACTGACAGTTGTAAGCCACTTTCTTATACATATTCAAACAACGAATGAAACAACTTGATACTAGGTCACATCTTGAGCATCTGACTTAAATGCTTTAGCAACTTTACCTAACTTAATCCTCAATTAAGACTCATAAGAATGAGAGAGGAAAATTAATACTCAAAACTCAAACAGGAAAAAAAGAATAACTCTCCACTCCAGTCCATATGGATGTTCTAGGTTCATATGAACTTTTAAAAAAAATAATAATACAACTAAGCTTTGATTCTTTTGGTCAGATCCTACTGCCCTCAGTACAGAGAGCTAAGAAGCCACAGATCATTACCTGATCAAAACAAAACAAAACAAAATCATTTCATTGTTGTCGAGTTGGAATCCTTAGCAGACACTGGCAATCCTTTCACACTATCCTAACAGGAAGGTTGAGAATGAAAAGCAGGATGTCTGGCAGGCAGGAACAGAAAGGAAAGACAAGCCTATTCTCTTCCATTTGAGGGCAGCAGAATAAGGGCAAATACATGGGAGCCATCAAGAGCCAGTACATCGGGGTCTGTGGGGTAGGGGACCACATTGCAAATGAGCCTTCGGTCTTACAGATTCCAGAACTGGCAGGCATGTGAAGGGCATTAGCCAGACTGGTGAGTCCTAGATCAAGTAATATGCCGCACTTGATGAACAGTCAGATGAGAGAAAAGGATTCATGCTTAAGTATGTTGAAGCAGCATTACGTTAAAGAGGATTCATTTCTGGCAGGATTCCTTAGGCTCTTTAACTACCAAGTGCATTGCAATTGCTAAAAGGGAAAATGAGTGCACAGCATTTCTAAAATGTATTTCCCAGCAAGGCTCCCATTCCCTCGTAGAGTCCAGGTGAATGTACTAAGGTCTCCTAGACCACTGGAGGAGAAAATGCTAAGGTTCAAGGCCAGAGTTTAAATTCATGTAGATAAAGAGGGGAGGTGAGCTACAGGAACAGATATTAACACTTTACTGAAAAGAAACAGGAAGAACTCAGTACCTGTTGGTTGTCATCTCTGTAACACTCTTGCTGGACCTTTTCCAAAAGGTTTAGGGCCAACTGTTGCCTGGAGGGACCTTCTTCATCCACAAATATACAGTCTTCCAAGGCGGTAGAAGATAAAATCTGAAGAACTGGCATGACTAGCAGCAGGGATGACTTTGGGATTTTCTGGTCTTCAGGAAAAGAGAAGAGCTTCAAAGCTATTCATCAAAATGACAAGAGAACCAAGGTTATCAAACCTAAACACCATAGCCAAATAAATGCTATTTTACTTCAAGAAAGGTATGTCAAAGAATAGTCTTCCTTACAAGTGGGCCTAAGATGACAAAGCTTGCCCCTCCGGAATAAAAGTGAATTATTCTTCAAAAATGGTGTTAATATAGTAATAATAGAAAATCTAATTATACACCTACAGAAAATGCACACATCACCAAGTATAAATCAAGCTTCTTTTAGGCATATATGAACTTTTAAAAAATGATACAACCAAGCTTTGATTCTTTGAACTTCTCAGATCCTACTGCACTCACCACACACAGCCAAGAAGCCACAGATCATTGCCTGATTTTAAAACAAAACAATAAAACAATTTCAATGCTGTGGTGTTGGAACCAACTCATAGCTCGTCTCCTAACAGGTTTCCAAGGCTGTAAACTGAACAGGCGATTGTCCAGTTTTCCCCGATGGAGCTGCGGACAGATGGCCAGATCAGTGGGTATAAACTTCAACACATACTCCTGCCTGACAAGGTATCTGAGAATTTTATTAGTAGAGGATTACATAATTAGTAAGATGAGGTAAATGAGTCCTGTTAGAGCAATGGCTAAGCATTGAGCTATCAGCCAAAGTATCAGTAGTTCAAGCACAAAAGGTGCTCTGAGGGAGAAAGGGCCTGGTGATCTGCTTAGATTACAGCCTAGGAAACTTCGTGGGGCAGCTCTACTTGGTCCTTGAGGGCCACAAGCAGTCAGAATTTACTCAACGACACACAACAACAACGACGCGAGGAAGCTGGGCTGAGTTTCAGTTATGACTGTTTAGCAGATCAAGAAAGCCTCAGATTACATATGCTGCATAAAAAGGAAACTTATTTTCAACAAATGATTTTTTTAAACGTTGAAATTCAATTTACACATTAATTTACTTATATCTCTCCTTACTACTCACTAAGCTCTCAGAGCTCCCTTAGTGCAGAGACAGGCAGTTTTAAAGCTACATTGTGGTGATGGTTGCACTACTCTGTAAATTTGCTAAAAAATTAATCGTACAGTTTAAAATGATGCCTTTTTTTTAACAGAACAGCAAGCAACAAATGCTGGCGAGGTTGTGGAGA